GTCAGCCTCTAAACTCAAAAACTACATAGATGGCGAAAAACGCATGGGGAATTGACCGACATTGAGGATATCTACACATATTTAGAAGCACCGTATTTACCATACCAATTTTTCTGATGGATTGGATCGCTTTATTTCTTCAAAGCACACAACTGGTTCTTAGCCATTTTATCGACTTTCAAACCATCATTCCTACATATGTTATGTACATGATTTCGGTCGGGAGCTGGGTAAACCATCCGTTGGTTGCTTACCAATGATGTGGTAGTATTTCGTTTTCTGAAAGAGGGCGGGGGAAGGAAGGCGTATTTTGGCTTTTCTCTGCTGGTGATGGTGACGTAGGAAGAAGGTAATTTTGAAGTTATCCTGCCTCCCCCGCTCGACCGTTTCGCGGGAAAAAGCGAGCGGAGTTGGAGCATGTCTAGTGGTCTTAGAATTGAATGCTATAAAAGCAACAATGGTAGCAGATGATTTGGGGTGGTAAAAAGGTCGTTTCCATGGGTGACCCCATCCCGGGTAGTGCTAGGGAGAGGGGTCATATCGAGACCCACATGGGAGAGGTCTTCGAAATTTTCAAAGATTTTATCGACCGTGAAAGAGAATTCGGAATGTATGCAAATATTAGACTCCACCTCGACTTGAACCATTTGACCACGCACAACCAAAAAACACCAACCATTCCCCCCATTTCTGATAACCGGTTGTTCACTAATCCTGCCAGAAGCCGCCTCGCGACCGCGCGCATTCCAGCTTTGCAAACTCAGGTGCGGTTGCTCAGTATAAGGAAATGCTTCTGCCCAATTTAATAGTGGAAAAATTGTTTGAACGGTTCACTATAGCCCCTTTTCTATGTACCTTCCTCATGACAAAACCTCACGTCATTAGAATCTTTTACTCGATTTTCACTTCATTTCATAATGGGATTACTGACCATAAAATAAGTTGTTTGATACTCCTAATGAAAGTAGTTGCGCTTCTTTGAAAGATAAGCAAGTGATTACCATCAAAAATTTTGATAGGAGAAGAAAACCAAAAAAATAAGCTGCTCTACAATTTTAAAACACGTATTCCTGGCGCTGTGCGAGCCGATACGCATTTAGTGCTGAAAGCTAAGCGCTTTCTCTCAAACAGCTATTGAAGAGTTCTGAAGCCATTTGTCAGTTCATCGGATATCAGGATACCAATTCAATTCCCCATTTGTTCTATTTCTACCATCTAAAGTAGCATGACAAATATTCACTGGTAGTGTTCAAGATTTAATACCCAGCTTTCATATTGCGTTCCCTTCCCTTTGCTACAGTTCTAGGTTCACCATCAATCGCCTAAAGCAATATGCTAACTTCGGAGAAATAATAGTTTTGTGAAAAGTAATGAAAGAGGATTTGGAATATCGACAAATGAACAATCATAAATCAACAAGCAATTCTCAAAAACCCGCAGACAAAGCCAATTTTGAAAAAAAAATTCTCGCTAGGCGATTAGCCAGAATGACCACCCATTCAGGCCTAGAGTGACCAGTCATCTATCCCCTCTGTTGTTTGTAATGCTTCCATCTGAGTTTACAAGATTACAGCGGTAGACGGTCCCTGGTTACCCAAATGGCATGCTACCAATTGACGGCGGCGGCGTAGCGACTGCAGTATTAGAGAACAATTTGCGCGCAAGCAAGGGGGACCTTTCCTAATGTACAGTGCTTAAAAAAAAGACTCTACATAATAGTAATCTATACGAATCGGATAACTTACTTACTTTACTTTGATACTTTGATAGTCCTTCAGCTGGCGATCTTCTCAGCGGGGACCACAGCTCTTCCATGCTTCCCGGTTTCTGGCAACTTGCATCCAGTGTAGACCGCGTTGTCTGAAATACTTTGAAAACGAGTGGGCCACCCTGGTCACTTTAGGTTGCATAAAGTTGCTCTGCTAAAGGTCGTTAGGGCACCGCGGTAATTTTGAATAGAGAGCCCAATTTAAAGGCGCTAGGCAGCACTCGAGCGCTAGGCGTACTAGGGATACGGCGAAAAGTTTCAATGTAGAAAATGTGAACTTCCATCCAAAAGTACATTGAATTTATGAGAACTCCCTCCAATATTTCCATGCAAATCTCATTATACTGCGTGCGCTTTACAATTCTGGTCATATTAATTTTTATGCTCTTTTCTCCTCATTGCTTCGCTGTGAGCAACCTTTTGAGGAACTGTTTCCTATTTCTCCAAATCGTATCTGTACTAATGATGAATCAACGTCGAGAAATCCTCAAGCAGAACTCATTCTTGGTTTAGGTGCTGTTCAGAGAAATTTGGATTTTTTAGGAATTTCAATGAAATTCTTAGAAAATTTGACAGGAATATTGCAATTTCTTTCCTGTCCAGTAGTTGGGTTGACCTGATGACAACTACCCCATTACCTCAACATTTATGAAATTTCGAAAAATATAAGACACGCGGGAAGGTCATTTGCCTTGTAGGAAGGATACCAAAGAAAGATGGAGGGTCGACCGTGATGGGGGGGGGGGGCAATTAGTTGCCATATTTCTTCGACACATGGCTCATTCTTCCTGATCCTCTACTTCTCATTTAAGACATCCATTGCCTCTGGGGCTCTTATGAGGTCTACTGTTGGAAATGGTTCCAAAATTTTCGAGCTCTTTGACGTCGAAGTTCATTATTTGTTCTTTCAATAGATTTTCTCGTCAAGTAGCGATTCACTGGTTCTCGTTCATTTGCATACACGGCTTTCTAGAAGGAAACCTGCGGTGGTAATTTGAACCGTTATTAAATGTCCTCCAAAAACTAGGTAATAAACCTGATAACAGGAACTTCCCAGTGCTAATGAGATCCGACGTATTTCACATTGTTTACGCTCCAACAAACCACCGAGGTAATTTTGTAATCAAGTCACGGCCAAGATGTGAATCTAATTTGTGGTGTACAGCTACCGAGCTCATGCTAATAGCGTATCGGTGACAATTTTGGCAACCCTTCCTTGTCATATTACCTCAGAAACGACCTCATCCGTCCAAAGATAAGGTAAGTTACGCTGAACCATTGCTGTTCACCTACCTGTCGCCACTGTTCGAGGTCGCTTATTGTTCCCTTCTCCCAGAAAGAGAGACTGTGGCTTGAGGAATTCGTCCACTGCCAATCTGAATTCATTCTCGTTTCTGAACAAGGAAGCACTGAAGTACTGAGAAACTTTTGATCAAAGGGAGAGATTCGGACACACTGAAGGATAACCATCCGCATCTCGTAGACTATCTTTGCTGGCAGGATCATTGTGGGCGGCACCTGCGTTGTTATTTCGATAAATGCCAGCTGCTCCTGCTCACGCATAACAGTCGTCATGATCCTTCGGTTTTCCTGCTTCTGCAACCGTACGTGGCGCTTCCCCTCCTGTTCTTTTGGTGTAAGCTCCGGCGTTTCAAATACTCCCGAGCCACGGACATAACAGAGCATTCATTTAAACGGAATAGGGCTTTATGACGCACTCCTATTCTTCTCCCTTGTTGATCTACAGTTACTACCTCATAGCATTTGCACAGAGGGCCCAATTCGATCCACTGTGATCAGCGAGTATCTTGTGCTTCTTCTGAGAATTCAGAAGAGAAATACAGTTGACCGCCGTTCCCATAAGGTCGAAGGCTGCAAGCAAGTGGGGGATCAATGACCAAGCTCAATGGTCTCGCCTACTGTCTCTGAGCCATGCACGACTGCAACATAAGTGTGAACGGAGTGCTTAGCTAAGCTCCCTGAGTCGCGTATTGCCGAATCATCCATTGCACTGACCGGTAAACTCGACCAAATTTTTTTGGGAAGGTGGGGGGGGTGGTAGGTACTCGCCTCACCTCTGCTAGAGGGCCCCAGGTGTCCACTATCGTGGTATGAGCTCCCTTTGGTTCGCCAGAATTGTGAAGGAAAAGGAGGCAGCCGCGGAGGTGCATTCAGTTGGATCATAGTGTAGGAGGCATTGTGGCTTGCAAATGCAAGGGCTTAGACCGTAATTTGGTCAGAATCATGATTCTTGCACACTCCACTCGCATTCCCCCGCGGCAAAATTTTCACAGGCATACACGGAAATAAAACCGCGTCCCGCTCAACATTTAAGGCAAGAAAGGTTGTCGATTTAAACCAGAAAACTAGAATATAACTTAAATAATATAAATTTAAATGAAACAATTCCATTTAGTCTTAAATTCTTTACTTTCCAGGATAAGAAGAAAACTTCAAATTGATCATAATTCAATATTAATATAGTAATGTAATACGCTCATAAGCCGTTTCTGATAAGGAATCATAGTTCACCTATGGTACCGCTACAGAAAGTATAACACTATCATAGAAATACTGCCAGCTAAATTAGCAAGTCCTGCTGAAACAAGCCCTACATTCGCATAAGCTCGGCGCCAAACTAGATCAGACTCCGGTCTCAGCGTTGGAATTGATTCCGAGAGAAACAAGTCTCTCGATAACATCTGTACCGCAATCTTAGGCGCACTACATCATTATACAAACATTACTCAAAATCGTGGACCTCGAAAGATATCGTTGCCCACCACTAATTAGTACGTGTACCTTTAATTTCGATTCTTATCTTATCATGATAGTAAGTCTTACCTGAATTTCCCCCCCCCACCGCCAAAAAACGCACCGACGGTATTTGAATCCATTGGCTCCTATGTTCTCCACCACTAATGGTTTCACCAAACGGAACAGAAAACTAGCGTTGAACATCTCATTTAGTGTAATTATCTGATTTCGTTCACGTTTTACTTTTGTCTCCAATTACAGCACAATCGTCTAGGGGAAATAGTAAAACCCCTTCAATTACAGGGGTAATTGTAACTTATTTCCGCAATTTCAACAATAATACCAAACTTCAACATGATCCCACTGCTCAGTAGTAGAAAATGGATGCTTGAAAAAGGTCCGTGAAGTAATGACCCACGTCATCGAATATTTCCCGGGAAACGCGCCTAATATTTTCAAGGTATGAAGGATTACGTGACAGGTTTCTCCCGGAAGCTTCCACGGAAGCCGTAGAGTAAAACTGCACTAAAAAGAAAAGCTAAAACCAAGAAGGAGAAAAGACTTTTGAAATGCTTGCGAGCTTCTTCCAGCTACTGCTTCAAAATCAAACAATATCTCGAAATCCGAAGCTTAGCTGAATGATTCCATGAAACGTGCATTGTACTAAAATGTTATACGAGCGCCCATAAAACTAGGCGTTCAAATTAAGTGGCGAATTTTTGCCATAGTTTCCTCGTACGTGTATAATTAAGGGATTGGCGAAGTGTCGGATTCATTTGTTTCATTTAAAACGTTACTCAGGGAAAAGGTTAACAACGGTTCAAGATTCATGACAAGGGGTCGTAATCGTTCTGATGGGAGGAGGGAGCGTAGATAGGATCGGTGGGGGGTTGGGTGGAAAAATGAGATAGCGGCACAAAATGTAATACTCGTATACTCGCTCCCTCCCTCTGGCTGGACGCTAGGATACTGTGAATTTTGAAGAAAATTTTTTGAGGTGGGAAGGGGGAGGGAAGGGGGTTGGATCGGAGTTGCTTTTGAGGAGTTCAGCATGGTTCAACAACACTATTGGCACCATAGAAGGAGTTCCATTGAGGAGGCAGAGTATGTCGTGTGCCGCGCCCATTACACCGACGCGACGTTCATCCTGCTCCTGAATTTCTATCACAATTACTCTTCACGGGACATGGGTAGAATAGCGCTCCTTCCTTGAAGGCACGGGAAGTGATGAGACCTTTGAAACGATTATCTTCGTGAATGAGGAAGCGCGTCCTCTGAAGTACAAAGTCGTGACACTGTTACGGCTCCGAAGTGCGTGACACGGGCGTTCAGGCCTCGCCTCAATCGCAGCCTACGCGATGTCTGCGCCCTCTTCGATGATGTGATCTCTCACGTATTCCCACTCTTTGCTGCGCTATGTTTCTTCGACGTAAACGCGCCGACCTCACGACGAGAGGAACTCTTCAATTCTAGTGATTTCTAGGGTTCCGCTTGTTTGTTCTTCCTCACTGGATCTCCTCTTCATACCCCTGTGTTATCGTGAGAGTAACAAAAGTAATCGCCTTGAACCGACGCCATCTTTCCGTTCACAGCGCTCGCGAAGCGCTTAGACCGTAAAATTGCCGCGTCTCCGTCCGATCCTTTTGAAGTCCGAGCTACTCAAGATGAACATGATTCAACCCATAAGTGTCGGAAACCCTGTGGAAGTTTTGCATCTCCAGGTACCGTAGAGTCGAACTCTTGTGTCGGCACCCAAAACATGAATCATTCCGTAGCTGGTTACTAGTGAGACTTTCTTGAATTGACTTAAAGGCACGCTCCGCGATCAGGCGGGCTCGCCTGTTCCATCCAGGGGGTAGTAGGCAGGTGGACAAGTGTTGATGTCGCCCCTTTTGCGGCTTGAAAGTGCGCGACAAAGGCGCAAGGAGCTCGTCCGACCCGCAACTCACACCTTCGTCCGCAAGCCCCACCCTCCGCTGTCGGTTGCCACGTGGCGCTGCTTGAAAAGCGCGGGCGCATTTGAGGCAGCGGTCCCATTGCGATCCAATGTCATTGGCACTGGAGCAACTAGAGTTAGGTTCGTGAAACTCGTCCAACGCGCCTCTTCTCTATCCCAAGGTGGAATGTGGCTGAAATAGGGGAGGTCTCTGTACGGGGCGTAATCGGTGGTTCGTTTGCTTTCCTTCTCTTTTACAGACCACCTCCCACATAACTGCACGCTTTTCTACACCTATTTTATCCCAAATCTTGTCTTTAAGAACCAACTAGGACAAAGGCTGGTCCTGCTTTTTCGTCGATGGATCTATCATCTATCATATATTCAATGCGTCTTGGTGATTCCAAATATAGTAGAACTTGAATACGTGGCGCATAGAAAAATGTAATTACGCTACCTAATAGACTTGCCATCGGCCAACACCCATTCCCATAAGCTGTCTCATATCTGCATCGTTCTATAGGCCAAAAAAATTTGATGTAGGAGCTTAGAGCCATAAAGCTGTCCATGTTATAGGCATTTTCACCTTTTATGGCCTGCCCAATTACGCTGCAATGGGCAGCAGTATACGCGGTTTACGCCATTTGTCCTCTTTGAATACTTGAATTTGGATATACATCCGTGAAGCTTAACCCAAGGCATCGACTAAGTGCATGATGAAGGCAGACCGGAAGCAAAATCGTTTTGAAATCGCTGGAAAGGACATGCGAAGTGCTTACTGGCATAAATCTCCATCCGGAAAGCACTTAGTCGAACAGGACATAAATTTGCGAACTACTTAAAGGAAGTGGTCACGATAATTCTCATAGGGACGATAAGGAAAGCTGTGTACTGGAGTGGATAGGGGTCCTGCCCAATGTTACAACACGTGAAGTTTCAGTGGCAGTGGCGCCTTATCAACGGAGTGATAAGGCGCCGAAATCCACTTCCGTTCAGCAAAAACCAAGACTTATCGATGTGGAAAGGGGTGCGATAAGAGCGTGCTAGATATGATACCGTTATCGTTATCGTCCCGTTTTCATTCTGGAGTGTACTTTCTTCTTAGCAGCCGCATCTCCTTATCTTATGATATCGTATCTTCTAGGGGGTAACGCTCGTCCGAACATAATCTATCTCAGACCTTATCGGTTGATAACGCGAGGGTAGCAAATCCAGCGTGGAAGCCAGCGTGATCGCTTCCTTTAAGAGTTCCTCTAAAAATTGCTGGATATACATTTTGATTGCTAGAACAACAAACGCTGAGAGCACTGAATTCCTTGGAAGCCTTGGCCTTGCTTCATTCTTTAGGCAAACCAGATAGTGACGAAAATGGGGTTACCTGATTGGACCTAGGCACCTAGGAAAGATACAGAGTATCAGACATTCTGGGGTTCCTTGAGAACGGTGTTACGTGAGTATTCCACGATTCAAAATTTGGACAGGCTGCAGGCTAAACAAGATGTCTCTATTTATCATATGCTATAGGATCTACAGGAGGAATATATCCATTGAAAAAAACCCACTAGAATTCAGCAGTGATAATTTTCTTCATGCCTATTTCGCTGGGAGAGCACCATGATCAGGAATGCAGTCTTGTCAGTTTGATCCCGTTTTCAAAGGTTTCTCTTGATAGCTTTTCATCCCTTTGAAAAATAACATATCACCCTATGATAATGGAACTCGGATTACGGTAGTCGTTACATCGTTGGAATAAAATCTTCGTTTGCGGAAGTTATTACGCTATTTGATCCTTCTAATATTATAATTTTTACGATGCACTCTCCATATAATTCGTCTATTTACTGGCGTGGGTGAAGGGCAGTGGACTGCCAACATCTTCCCTTCTTCTGGATATGTATCCTTCATTCTTGCTCAAATTGCTTAAAGGCAGTGATTACGATGGTTAGAGGGCGGTGCGATGAATAAACATGCTTGAACCCACTCTCCCGCCCTTGAACCTCAAGACCCTCAGTGCTCAGGAGTGCGGATGGGACCGCTTTTTCATTCCCTTCCACCAATGACGTCATCAAAACCGCAGCATTCTTGCGTCATCATGATCACTGCCTTTAAGCTCACAAAACTTCCCGGCTGGCTGATTCCCACTGTCATCCCCTACTGGAAGAACATCGCACCTCTCCTAAGAAGCCATTCACGTAAAAACACTCTTGAGATAGCGCTCACTTAAGCTGTACACATTAGTGAAGAGTAAAGAATAAAGAGAAAAAGGTTGTTCAATGTTAGAGCGCCTAGCTCTGGTCTTTGTACCCATCTGAACATTCTAAGATTTTACGAAGGACTTCTAAGATTCTACGGAGTAAGTGAGGAGCGAGAAAGTGCAAAAAACCAGGAGTAACGTTGGTTCCTGGCAAGCGCAGCGCAACCCGGTCGTGTCATGTCGCGCGCGACCAAATTGCGTGGCGCATGACGGGAGCAAATGCTCCATGCCTTAAAGGTACAGCACGTCAAAAAAAAAACGTTTTGTGAGTTCTATGATGTTATCATTTCAGATTTTACGCATGGGCCGGCAAACGAAGCGATCCGGAAAAGCGAAAACAGTTCTACGCATGGGCTGGGAAGTAAAACACTGATCAATAAACCTGTCGTCATCGTTTATGGATTCGAACAACTCTAGTCGCTATCGTCAGGAGAGGAACATCCACCATCACCACTGATTTTTACTAGCCCTCTCCTATACCATCATTTTAACATATTCATACTGGGTATCAGTGTAGATCACTAACTAGTCTATTCCATACAACTTTGATTTATCGATTTTTTCTTGGATTTATGGCTGTTTGGTCACATCGGTGTGCGCGTCATGAATAAAGTGTATCTGTTGGAAAGGTATCCAAGCGCGGATATCCGCAGTATTCTCATCCAATTCTCCAACTTTTGGGGGAGGCCATTCAAAATCAGAACTACTTGTTCTCGCTGAGCGGACAGACCTACATTCAGCGTGAGTACAACACGTGAAAGAACCCCAATAGCTGCCGCACAATCGAGGCTTTACTTCCTATTCCTTCTATTACACCCATGAACTTATTGAAATGCCTGACTTACTAGGTTGGTCGCCGTGCGAGCCGCTAGTCAGGCCATGGCCGCATTACGTGAAACTTGAGCGCACGGAAGAGGATGCGTATCGTACGCAGATGGAGAAAAAAACTATTCTAAAGATAGTAGTAATGCCGCATGAAATACTCGAAGTTCGTGCACACACCTAGAATTGCAATTAAAAAGCTGCAGAAGCCTGCAAGAAAGATACCCGGTTACTCGCAATCAAGATACAGTAGCGGTCAAAAGTTTGGAAACTTTTTTATTTTTGATCTAGCGCGGCCGACACACAACGAAATTGTCCCAAATTTAGATATTACATACAAAATCGAGTTCAGAATACGATGGGAAGAATAATTTCCAAAAATCTATAATCATGTTTGAGAAATAAGATTTTTTTCAAGTAATGGCGCGTCAAAAGTTTGGAAACTT